TTTTTTTTTTTATGCCATGGAATCCAGATACAAAATGGAAAGGCTTCTTGTAGACTCATTCAAGGCCTGCAGAGAAAGCTGTAAGCCTAGGAAAAAAAGGCAAACACCAGCTTAGGATAACTTCATTCTAATTTATTGTTACAGTTACAACAAGATTTTAATTGAGGATAATTCTCATGAAGTTTTCCAGAGAAGAAAAAGAAATCAAATTCTGTCCTAACATTACTACTTGTTTATGTTAAAATACAATCAAAATATTTTACATGTAAACCTAAGTGAAGTGTGTAAATAAATTTCATTGAATACTTGAATTTTTAGTTGGGATTTTTAAATTTTTAGTATTTATTTCATGTTAGTTGCCTCAATTTTTGCTTAAAATTTCCAGTAATTCTTAACATTCCTAGAAATTCCTGAAAATTCCTAGGAATTTCTGGCAAGTTTTTAGATTTACAGCCTTTTAGGGAAGGTCATTGGTGCTCTGTTGGCTATTAACTTGGAATTTCTGGGAATTTCTAGGTTTTTAGAACCAGTGTTGTTATAGTTCGGAATTCCTAGGAATTCCCTTTTTGAATTTACCATGAAAATTCACACCTGCTATTCCTAAGAATTACATTTTTTCCTTGGAATTGCATATACATGAGGCTCTACTTTAAACCTATTATAAGTGTATTTTTATCCTATTTTTTCAAGTTTTTTTCCTATTTTATCCCTGTTTTATGTCTATTTTATGTCTCTTATAACTATTTTATATATTTATTCCTATTTTTTCCTCCTTTATTCCTATTTTATGTATATTTTAAACCTATTTTAAATGTAGGTATTTATATCCTATTTTTCCCAATTTTTTGTATTTTTTCTCTATTTTATGTCTATTTTCTTTTCTAACTAATGTTTCATTAATGCTATTTTAATCCTATTTTATCATCAAATTGCATTCCCCTTTTTCTCCATTTAAAGCTATTTTAAAGTTATCTATACAGTAGTTATGCCTTGCCAACCAGACTATTTTTTTACCATTTTTTGTTTCAGAATAATAGGTTTAAAATAGTTTTAAAATAATTTTAAAATAGTCTGGAAAATAAGGAAAAAATTGTTTAAAAAATAGATATAAAATAGGCACTATTTTAGTATATTAACTTTAAAATATGATTTGGGGCCCTTTAAGTTACTGGTACTTTCAGGAAACAGGTCCATGAACTAAATGTATAAAGATGGCCTTACGCCTTAAGCGAAAATTTTTTTTTGACCCTTGGCAGAAAGATGATAATCTTGAAGCAAAATCAGTAATACAAAACTAGGGTTTGATCTTGATCTTGATCCTGCCTAAGTGTTACAGACAAAATAGTATCCACTAAGGAGGCAAAAGAGCATAAGGTTGTTGTTTATTTCTGCATCTTTCTATGATCTAAGCCCACTCCGTTTCGGAACCCAGTCTGTTCAAACAGTGTACACACCAAATAAGACATTTTGCCCCCTAATGCCGTCATTGTTTGGCCTTTTGAAAGTTTGATGTAAAAAATAATACATAATAATTCTAGATAAGCCCTTTCTACACAGAAGGCAGGTTTACTAGGTGCCCTAGTAACTTTATATGATATGTACATCTGGATATAAAACACTTTATTCTCAAAGGGTGCATTTCAACTGAGTGTCCTACAACCCAATCCAAAGTGATCACAACTGCCAATCATCGAGCACTTTTCAATTGAGTATCAAAAAACCCAAACCAAAGTAATCACAACTGCCATTCAGAACAAAAGGTTACCTTAATTATTAGCCAAAGAGAACTCAGAGTAAAAACAGACAACCTCCTTTAAAAACATGGAAAAACACCAATGACCAGGTCATGATTGATTTTAGTTTTAAATTTCCTTGGTTGAGATTGTAACACAAGTTTTCTGGACCAATCACACAATGAAGTAAAGCAAAACCAAAGCAATCCAGCATCACTTTTGGTACTCAGTTGGAAACTGTTCTAACAAAAGAAACATAACAAAAGGCCAAAGACAACTCAAAGAAAAACTGGCGGAGCCCGAAGCGCTGGAAATACACAAATGGCCCACCTAATTGGTCAAGAGGGCAGCATAGGCTTTCTAAACCAATAACAGACTAAAGTTGAGATAAACCAATGCAATCCATGACCACTTTTGACACTCAATTGTAAATTTATTTTATAGTTTACAACATTACCATACAAGGAATATTCTTAACAGATTCTGAACATGACTAATGATGGTCTCTAGATACTGATGCTGTATTGCGCTTCTCATTAGGTCTGATCTGAAGAGTGATTTTCTGTTGGTTATCCAAGCATTCTCACAGTTTATTCTCAGTCATCATTAGCCTTTGTTCCAAAATTGAAGCTGTCTGCAAGAAAAAGTGGCTCGATAAATATGACAATCTTTCCCCTACACTGAAAAATGTCTTTAAAAAATCAAATATTATTGTGTCCAAGCCCAAGTTAATTCATCTCCACATTGGACAAAATGTTTGCCTTGTCACTGTACAACAAAAAGAAATCATATGAGACTGTTCATGACCTTTTTTCAAACTGCTGTTTCAGAAATGAACCTTATCTTGTGATCAGGTGTTCCTTTTACCAAGTGGTACAGTAGAGAGAGAATGACTAATGACTGTAATGCTCTCTCACCAACCCCTCCCCCCCCCAAAAAAAAAAAACAAAACAAAAACAAAACAAAAGCTGTGTGATTTAGGCTAAAGGAGACCCTGCTTCTCAAAGACTAGTAAAAGGAACTAACAAAAATTGAGTACACAAAAGCCATGTCCCCCATTTCAAAGTGTTGTGTCTTGTTTAAGGAAGGGTGTTGTAAAATGAATATCAATTCATAGTTAATATGTGTAAAGTTTTCATCTGGCCATACCCCTTTGCTCCCTCTCCCCTAAAATGGTCCCCCTTCCACCCCTGGTATTCTCCCCAGCACATGGCAGCATGATGGGGTCATTAGGAGAAGTGCATCCCCACCCCATGGCTCTTGATTTCTAAAATACTTCCCTGTTCAGAAATGTTTCCACAACAAACCTGTGTGAGCACATCCAGCTGGCCAACAATGTACTCCAGTGTCATGCTCAGTTGTAGAGGAATATCTCTTTTTTCCAGGGGTGTGGTAAGGGGAAGCCGAGTAGCCGGAATGCCTCCTAAGCCATCAGCCTCCCCAGTCCTCCCTGTTACTTCATCTAATTTTCTCTTTCTCTGAAGAATGAAAAATTTACAAGAAAACACCTTGGTTAACTTGGCATTTAAACTGAACCAAGTAAGGTGGAAGGGGGTCTTGCAAACATTACATCCTAGCCATCAACTGATACAATCAAAGTCAAAAAATAGTCCTAACTAGCCTACTTCATCCAAAGAAGAGTTTTTAGTACAACAAAAAAGAATCGATCTATTACTCATGCAAGCATTCTTGTTGCACAGTAACACACATTTGCAAAACAACCAAGTAAATCTATTCACAATGCATTTAGTAGGATATTTGTTTTAACAATGGTCTATGCTATACGAACCTAAAGGATAAGCACTGTAGAACAGTTCATGAATACAGTGGAAAAATTCCTATAATATCAGTAATTCATTCAATCAATTTACATTTTCATAATACTTAAGGAACTTGTTCATGAAAACTCCTGCATGCATAAAATATCTAAAGAGTAATAACTTGATGCATCCAAAAGACTCCTCAGTCTATAAACAGTTTCTGATCACATTTCACATGCAATTCCTCCAAAAGCTACCAAGCACTATGAAATTGTTTAATTGTTTACAGCGTAATCATGCAAGCTACTATCCAAAAGTGATAATTTAAAAATTCTAAATAAAAGCATGATCCATCTGATGACCAAGTTGCTATTATCAAACTTAACTAAAAGTCTTCCAAAATATGCTCATGAAAAAGTCTTCTTGCTAAAAAAATGTAAAGTTGACATGTAAAAGTTATCAACACCAATTAACACTAATCAGTGCCACTGTACAGTTATTTGCAAAAATGTATATTTTGCCTTTACAACACTCCAAAGTCTTTAACAATTAAAAAGCTTAATCACATTTGAAATCAATTTAATCAAAACTAAAACAAATTCTCCCACATGTTTGGTTATCACCAGCTTATTTGAGTGCCAATAAGACAGTGCAGGCAACATACTTGTAATTGCATAAAAATTATTGAATAGTAGAGCAGACACATCATGCTTGTGAAAGTGGACAGTGTGTATCATATGCATGTGCAGTTATGGTGCATTTTGGAGAGTCAATGTTGTTTTTTTATGTTATCAGATGTGGGGCAAAATTACTGAATGCTGACTGGCTGAGACAGTGGGCATTTTTTCTTAATCACCACAGCATTTTTAATAATTAAGAGGGCACAATTACTTGATGCTGATTAACCCTTTAACTCCCAATATGTCATTAGTAATTATCCTGACTGTCTGCTATACAATTCTTCTGATGTTACTTCTGAGAATTTGATATTGGATCAACTAATGATCGCCTAATTGATACTTTTCTTGGTTCTCATCACATGTCTTCTTGATTTTGTATTGATATTGTAAGGAGAAATTCTGTCTTGGTGAGTCATGGGAGTTAAAGGGTTAAGCCTTTTCGTTGTTTGCTGCAATGACTTATTGATTGTAATTTATCTAAATGAAGCCATGTAACAATGTTACCTGTATTTTGAGAATAAAATGTTCATTGAGTCCTTTGGTCAGTTATGCTTGTTTTGACATTTGTGACAGTAACGAAAGGGCTTAAATGCTAGGACATTGTGGGAAATTGCAATTTCCTAAAAAATATTGCCTTTTCAGTGATAAGCAAGTCATTGCAAGAGCCCTTGGGCCCATGCAATTACAGACACATAATGTATAACCGATGATTAGTTGCTTTCTTAAACTTGTGATTAACAAAATGAATTAACAAAATAATAAAACTTGAAGATATCCACAAAAGGTTTGCCTGTCAAGAATTAATTTTTACTTTCAAAATTGGGCATTCAATTCAGAATGTAAACTTCTTTCCCTTTGAAGTCTGTGACCAAAATCCGATCATCTAGCATTGGGGTAACACTCCACGGCGCTTTAAATTGAATATTAGTATTTGTCTTTCCAATGAAAGTTCCTTCCAACGTAAACTGTTGAATGCGATTATTCCCCCTCTCACATAAGAAAACGTTATGTTTGTCAACACATATGCCAAACGGCTGATTCAACTGTCCATCACCGTTTCCTTTTTCTCCAAACTTGTACAAAAACTGTCCTTTCTCATCAAACACTTCCACGCAGTTATTATAGAGATCAGTTACAACGAACTTTTCCTCATAACAAACGCAGCTGAGAGGATGATCTAGTCTTTCAGGACCGCTGTCTCCAAACTTAAACACAGGTTCACCGTCCATTGTAAAAACCTTAATCCTGCTGTTCTCGTACTCCGCTACAACGATGAAACGTCCATCACTTGTAACACAAACACTTGCAGGATTCTTTAACTCTCCATCTCCACTTCCCTTTTTTCCAAAGCTTTTCACAAAGTTCCCTGTATGTACATTCAACTGCTGTATTCGGTGATTACATTCATCTGCCACCAGAATCTCATCATCGTTTAGGAATGTGACGCCTATTGGTGTGTTTAGTTGTCCATCCTTGTCTCCATAAGAACCTAGTTTTCGCACAAATTTTCCTGTATCATCAAATACCAGGATACAGTGACCTTTAAGATCAGCCACAGCAGTAACACCATAACTGTTCACTGCAATGCCGGCAGGACCTTGGAGCATTTCTCTCTGAAAGTCCAACTTGCCTACAACATTTAACTCTCGTACTTTTACCAGAATAGAAAATGGACTCTTGGCAAGTTTCTGTCCATTTATCTTCACTTTCATTTTATAAGTACCTGGTACTTTCGCTACAAATTTTGCTTGGAAATTTCCATCTTCTTTCTCACTCGTCGCCAAACTCCTCACCTGATCCGCAGGGTCCAAGTGTATTTCAACACGATCTGTGTGCCGAGTGTTTCTGATTTCTCCTTCGCTTGTTTTGGGACAAATTAGTAGCTCTGCCTCTATACCAGCTTGAAAATTCTGATCCAGTCCTTCAACGGTCGATCCTTGCACATCTGTTTCGCCGAATTTCGTAAATCCCAGACTCAAACTCTCTGGTTCACATGTCGACACAAACTCCACACTCGAGTTAACCAGAAGTACAGGCATTGTGGTCTCGATGAGGTCTTCGGTTCGTTCTTCTACATTTTTCTTGTTTTGCATTATGTCTGAACTTGAGCCTCTTTCAACCAGGTTGTTACTGAACTCAAATGCTTGGTCAAGTTGCTTTTCCAAAGAGACAACCAATGCTTTTCCAGAATGTAATTTCTCCATCCTTGACACGCGAGTCTTCTCGAGGGCAGAAATGGCTTCACGCTCCAGTTGACGAAGCTTTCCCATCATCTGTTCGGTTACTTGAGAGACTTGGCGTTTAGCTGTGGTAATGTTCGTTTCCAACTCAAGTTCCGTCTTCTCAAATTCACGAATAACACCTCGGCAAGCCTCTTTCTTCCCTTTGACCAGCTGTACTCTGGCAATGATGCTTGCTTTTTCATCGTCCGCTGCCTTTTCAAGCGGAACAACGTCGTGGCTTTTGTGATCTGTGACAATGCAAACTTGACATATACACCTCTGACAGTCCACGCAATAAAAACGAATCACATCTTTTTTGTGGTAATTCTCTGAGCAAAATGACTGCCGTTTGAACAAAGCCTCGTAGTCTGTAGCTTGAAACTTTTGCACTGGTGTGACTTTGTGTCCCTCAAACATAGTTTCTCGAAACACTTCGTGTGCTTTCACACAGTCGGGGCACATAAACTTCTCACAATCAAAACAGTAGTTGATCTCAGCGCTCTTCTTCTGGCATGTACTACAGCTGATCTCGCTTCCTTCGCCACCGCGTCGAACAGCAAGAAGACTCAACAAACTGTTGTGCAGAAAACTGCTTGGCAGATCATCAAAGTGATTTCCTTCAGGGATGCGAATTTGTGCCTGACACACAGGGCATGGATAAACACCTTGGTTTTGTCTCGCTAGTGCATGTCTCTCTAGGCATTCACAACAGAACGTATGAAGACAAGCAATGGTCTTCGGTTTCGTGTAAGTATCCGAACAAATCGAACATGTTACATGCTCTTTGAGGTTTTTCAGAAGTGACTCCATGATCACGAATTGTACAGAGAAACACAGCCCTGTTTTGTTTGAGGTTCCGAGAAACTGACTTGGATTAGAATTCTATTTAAAGCAGCGAATTAGATCTCTGTAGGATTGCGTGATCTTCGCGCAGTGATTGACGGAGTGACATTGCAATTTTTTTAACCGAATGTCTTCGTTCTGTAGACCGAATGTGTCGCTCTAGCCACTGTATCACGAAGAACAACATGCTACGAAGGTTTGGAAATAAACCATCTACCTCATTTTATCATTGCAACATTTAGCGCCGTTTAGTGAGTTTAGGATTAAGCAAACCTTGTTTTACTCCACAAGAAAAATAAACAGTGTTCTATTAAAGGTAGCGAATCGGACCTCTTAAGAAGAGATCTCGTGTTCTCTAGTGCGGTATTTGATAGCTTCAGTTTTGGATTTCAGTGTTTCTGAGGAAGCGTGAGAGAGTAACCATAAACAGTTGTTTAGTTTTCATGTGCTGTCACGAGAGACTAACGGAAAGGGAAAATCTGCATTCTTATGAGGACGGAAACTAGCTTCTAAAGGTTGTAACTTATTTTGAATCGCTTCCGTATTGCATTTGGTGCGGATCGTGGACTAGGATCAATGTCAGGGGAACTGCGTCCCTACCATTTTAAAAATAAAAGATAGTAGGGCAAAGTTTTAATAATACACTGATTTATATTCTCGCTTTTTTAAACTGCTAAAATCTGGCAAATGATTCTGTCTCGAGACGAAAAAGGTGAACAAAACGTAACAAATATCACATTGACAGCGTTCGGTCAAAGTGTTAATGATTAACTCTTTTTAAAAAATTGGCGCCGGTGTCCCAGCGGATTTGGACCCCCCTAGATTTGGACCCCCCGGTCCAAAT